AATTAGAAATCAGACTCTCTGATCAATCAAGGATCAGAGCCGAACTCAGAGAGTTAGACTCGTTCATAATGGATACGATCTGATTAAATGATTAATCCCAAATGAGTCAAACTTTCTGAAGTGGGCCACTAAAAATCGACTGGTTGAATTCAATACTTTTAATTGAGGATTTCGAAAGGTTTATATCTGAAATTGATTATCCTAAAATTTTTTTTATAAAATTTTAATTTTTGCGAAAGTTATAAACAAATGAATTTTCAGACGCTTTTTTTTAAATGTCAATTTCTCAGCGACTAATTGATAAAAATTAACGAAAATTTAATGGTGTCTACAGAATTAGTTGCAGAATCAAAAGACATATCGCACACAACGATATTTATCAATAAATAATTAATTTTGCAATAAACAATTGACGATTTTTCCATGTTCTCCTTGTGTTAAATTTTTTTTCTACGATTACATTCCTTAAAATATACACTAATTGATCCTGCAGAAATATTTCAGTGCACTCGATCCGAAAAAAAGATATGAATTTTTTAACGTTGATCAAAATACTGCGGCCGAGCCCGGAGCGCAGCACCGATTAACCGAGCGCTTTGTTCGCTTATGTTTTTACTGAAGAATCTTATAAAATATCTATGCATTTTTTAAATAATTACGCCTGTTGATTTATTTAATTATTTATTTACATCGATTATTTATTTTTTACTATTTTTACAACTGTAGATTCAGAGTAGCTTGCAAAAATCTTACATTTTAAAGAATTTTGAATGCAGACGACACGCGTCTTCTGATTCCACTTCTTCTTTCTCTTCATCGTCATCTTTTTTTATACTTTTTCTTTTTTGCTCGATTTTCTGAAACTTCGACTGCTTTTTTAAACTGAGCGGAATCTTTAGTAGTCTTTAATACAGCCGCCTTTTACACGAAACACAAACAAACGATCCACACAAATCACTGAACTTTTGGTCCTGCTTATGTGACAGAAAAAACAACTTATTTTTCACACTATTATGGCTTCCTTTATTGAAAGGATTACAGCACGTTGGAGGTGGTGTCATCGTAAAAACAGACTAATGCGTATGGAAGTCGACGCGTGTCATGCGATTTTTTTCATTTGTTTATACGCGTGTCGTCTGCATTCAAAATTCTTTAGAATGTAAGATTTTTTTCAAGCTACTCTGAATCTACAGTTGTAAAAATAGTAAAAAAGAAATAATCGATGTAAATAAATAAATAAATAAATCAACAGGCAAATTATTTAAAAAATGCATAGATCTTTTATAAGATTCTTCAGTAAAAATATAAGCGAACACATAGGCATGAGCGCTAGGTTAATCGGTGCTGCACTCCGACCTCGGCCGCAGTCCCGCGTTTTTCAGCAACGTTAAAAAAATCATATCTTTTTTTTCGGATCGAGTGCACTGAAATATTTTTGCAGGATCAATTAGTGTATATTTTAAGGAATGTAATCGTAATTTTTTTAAAAAAACACAAGGAGAACATGGTAAAATCGTCAATTGTTTATTGCAAAATTAATTATTTATTGATAAAAAAATTTTTCCGTGTGTGCGATATGTCTTTTTAATTCTGCAACTAATTCTGTACACGTCATTACATTTTCGTTAATTTTTATCAATTAGTCGCTGAGAAATTGACATTTAAAAAAAGGGTCTGAAAATTCATTTGTTTATAACTTTATAAACAAATTTACTATAATAATATTATAATTTAGAACGTATTCTCGGCTTTAGGTCAAACTTAGCTTAAGTTGTTTAAGTACAATGTATTTGAGTTCTACGTAAGAAGAACCATGGACCATTTGCTTCACCTTTTTTAAAGGTTTCTCTTCACCGCACCTTCTCACAAGAGAGGACTTACATCCATAGTTCCGTGGGATATGTAAAGGGTCAAGAGGTGATCTTTATATTTTTTTTTATTAAACATAATCGTTTATTAAACGGAGAATGTATAACAACCTCAGAATGAGTAACACCTGGACAATCAATCAAGTTTGTCTTCAAACTCGATTACTTGATTACGTTGAATTATTTGTTAATCAAAAGACTGTTTGAAATGAGGAACCGCTAAGTGAATGTGCTTATCCTAATTGTGTGTCCTCATTCTAATTAAAACTTTAGAAATGATATGCCTTATGTTTTTAGAATATTCGAACTCCTTGGAAAGCAATACTCACCTCTGTCCCCGTGTGGGCATATGTTATTGCTTGCTATGGTGGCGAATGGGCATTTTCAACTTTACTGACAGAAATGCCAACTTACATCAACAAGATCATGAAATTCGATATCCAGTCGGTAAGACATTCAGTAGTAGTAGAGATAAATCATAAAATTCTCTTTGTTTTATACATAATCTCATTATTTAGTGAACAAGTAAACCATAACTTAAACCATAAAGGTAGGTAAACCATATTTTTTTCAGAATAGTTGGTTGTCTGCGGCACCATACGCTTGTGTTATCATCGTCACCCTGGTATGTGGTATTCTCTCCGATTATCTAATCAATTCTGGTTACATATCGTTGCCGAATGAAAGGAAATTATTTTCCACCATTGGTAAGTATAATGTTTTCAACAATGAAACACTACGTAGCAATACGTTTACCTACCTGTATTTTAGGACTTTCGGGATCAGGGATAACCCTCATCGTATTAGCGTATATTCCCGAGACAGCCACAGGTCTAATGATAACCCTCTTAATCGCAACTATTGGATTGGGAGGGGTATCAACCAGCGGATTCTTTTTGAATAACATAGACTTATCTCCAACATTTGCCGGGGTCATTACTGGATTCGCGAACGGTTTATGCAATATCCATATTGGCGCCGCTTTTAGTTCAGTTGTTCGTCACAGATGAGGTATAGTTTTTTAGCTTTTACCCATATTTTCAATTTGAAAGAAATCATCTCCTAGTAAAAATACATAGATACTATTAACTGTATTTCATACATTGATCCGTTCTTCGCTTTGACACGTACGTCCTTAGCATCCGTAGAAACGTTACACCTCTTTGGGTTTTATAACACTGAATTTCCGAGGTAATCGTATAATATACAGTGCGCGACTAAAGTATGGAGTAAATTCAGTAAATGTGAAACAAGCAATTTTTGAAAAAAATCCTCGAACAGGTCGATTTTGTTTAATAAAAACACACATTTTTGAGGGAACGTCTATTTTCAGATGTCATTTGTTTTTACGTAATGACGTCATCAACTTATTTTTCAAATGGCAATCCCCCCCATTTTTTTTAATTTAATTTGAGAGACCCTTTCATCCTATTCTTATACCGTTAAATCTGTCGATTTAACGGTATAAGAATGTTGCCACCTTACATAAAAAAAATTTTGAGTAAAACACTATTGAATGTTACAAAATGAAAAATATATTTTTCATAATAAATAAACGAAAATTTCTGAAAAAAAATGAACACAAATAAAACATTGCAAAAAAGTACGTTGCTAAGCAAAAAAAATATCAGATTAAGTTTTTTTGACGTATCCATGGTTTTTACTGTCAGTTAATCAGAACATCTGTCATTAAATTGTGCGAAAAGTTAATGTAACGTGTTAGTATTTATAAAAATTTCAATTTGAATATGGCACATTTAACTGTGACACAAAGAATTGAAATTTTGGTTTTCATCGGATGTGGAAATAAGACCAGAACTCAGCAGGAGGTATGCAATTTATTTAATGCAAAATATAAAGATAACCCTATCACCCAATCCACAGTTAGTAAGATTGAGTCCAAATTTATACAAACTGGTGATGTTAAAGATCTACCAAAATCAGGACGTCCAAAAATTACCCAAGATAAAAAGATTGACATTGTGTTAAGTATGGAAGAGAACCCTCTACACTAGTTGCCTCAGAAAACGAAGTTAGTCAGACGACAATTCTATGTATCCTGAGGAAAGAAAACTATCATCCCTACAAATTTCAGCTTGTGGAAGAACTCAAGCAAATTAAAAAAAATGTACACAAGCAAATACTTTTTTCCGATGAAGCCACGTTTTGTTTAAACGGCACAGTGAACTGTCAAAATTGCAAGTATTGGAGTCTGACGAATTGGATCATTGAAGCACATACTCAACACCCGCAGAAATTAAATGTGTGGGCCGGAATAGTCGCAAACGGAATAATAGGGCCTTTCTTACAGTAATTTTCCTTACACAGTAATTTTCCCAAACGAGAATCATCCTGACATTCCAGATAACACACTCTGGTTTCAGCAAGACGGAGCACCCCCGCATTATGCGCGCTCAGTTTTTGCGTGAATATTTACGCGTCATCTTTCCTCAGAGGTGGATTGGCAGACGAGGTCCGATAGAATGGCCCGCGAGATCCCCAGATCTTACACCACTTGATTATTTTTTATGGGATTATTTAAAATCAAAAGTTTACTGCAGAAGACCACACAATTTAGCCGAACTACGAGATCGCATTAGAGATGGAATGTGATCTATTACCCGGATTTCATTCACAATTTACAAGAAGAATTTGTACACAGGCTTGCATATTGCCAAGAAGTTGATGGACGGCATTTCGAACACTTAATTTAAAATTGTATTTGCTTATTAAAGCAATTTTTTGTTTATTTATTGTGAAAAATATATTTTTCATTTTGTAACATTCAATTGTCATTTACTCAAAAATTTTGTTATGTAAGGTGGCAACATTTTTCTACCGTTAAATCGAGAATGAAAGGGCTTCTAAAATTAAATTAAAAAAAATGTGGGGTTGCTATTTGAAAAATAAGTTGATGACGTCATTACTCAAAAACAAATGACATCTGAAAATAGACGTTCCCTCAAAAATGTGTGCTTTTTATTAAACAAAATCGACCTGTTCGAGGATTTTTTCCAAAAATTTTTTGTTTCACATTTACTGAATTTATTCCATACTTTAGGCACTCATTGTATGTGATAATAACAAAATACTGATGATCATTGTCTAATAAACTGGATACTTAAATTATTCGCCGCGGCGATAGCTCAGTGGGTAAAGCGCCAGGTGAGAAGAAAGAGCTTACTCCGAGAGCTATTATCCGCGTGGGTTCGAATCCCGCCTGTGGCAATTGGCACCTGTTGTAATGACTCTTAGAGGGAGAATGTCAATTTCTGTGGTGTGTGTGATTAATCTATTATTCTGAAATCGGATACTTCCATAAATAATTGAACGCCCAATATTAAGTTTTGCATTAAAAAGAACAATGAAGATAAAAAATTAAAACAGAAACTCACAGCGACATTAAACAAAATGTATTTTTTTAACATTAATTCTTTATTTTTAACATTAATTAACAATTTTTGTATATGTATACATTTTATACCTACTAACATTTTTCACCACTTCGATTTTAACGAAGTTAAAAATATAAGTTGATATGACACATATATACATTTTTTGCAACTGGTTACTTAATAGGAACCCAGTGAATTCGCTCTATTTAGTTTTTAGCGTTCTACTATAATTTACAAAAATATGTACAAAGAAATCTAACATAAATATTAATACTTTTGGTTCCATTTTTCTACCTCCACTTGTTATACCAATTTAAAGCAATGCTAAAGTTTTGTGGAATTTGAGAGTAACTTCACCTCCACCATGGTGTATTATATTGGTTTCCAATAATCCATGTAAGTACAGTTACTACAGTTAAAGTTGGACCGGTCAATATACATACATACATATACAGGGTTTGTCCGGAAAATAATGTCAGTGAATTTTTTTTCCCGAGACTCTACGCGCCAGCCCGCGCTTTACGTGCTGGGATTGTGGTGGGGGGATCTGGCAACAAGATCCAACAAGCGTCAGTTGGCTACCGGTCGTTGTAGCGGTCGCATCAGTCGTTCGTTGAGAGTCGTTACAGTGACCCGGTGCAAGAAAAAATGCAACGTTCGCTTGAGCAACGGATGGAGATCAAGTTTTGTGTGAAACTGGAGAAAAGTGCTGCGGAAACCATTCCAATGTTACATAATGCTTTCGGCGTCGATTGTCTTTCGGACAGGCAAATTTTCCGGTGGCACAAGGCCTTCGCAGAAGGTCGGGGAAGATGTCAACGACGAGAACCCGCGCTGGACGGCCATCAACCTCCAGTTCCGACGACAATGTGAAACGTGTGCGTGACTTGTTGAACACTGACCGTCGTCTAAGTGTCCGTTTAATTTCCGAAACAGTAGACATTACGAAAACCATTGTTCACGAAATTGTGTCGGAGTCTTTAGGAATGAGGAAGGTGTGCGCGAAGCTCGTGCCAAAAGTGCTAACGGACGATCAAAAAGCGAGGCGCGTCGAAACCTGCCAAGAACTTTTGGATACCTGCGAAGACAACCCCGCTTTCCTTGATGACGTCATTACCGGGAACGAAAGTTGGGTCTTCGAATACGATCCGGAGACAAAGAGGTAAAGTGCGGAATGGCACACGTCGAACTCTCCACGCCCCAAGAAGGCCAGGATGTCCAGGTCAAAGATCAAGACAATGCTGATTGTCTTTTTTGATTGCCGGGGATTGGTCGATCATGAGTTCGTTCCGCAGGGGACAACCGTAACCGGAAAGTTTTACGTCGAGGTGCTGAAGCGGCTGAAACGCAGGGTGAATCGCGTCCGCCCAGACATCTCAAAATCCTGAAAGATTCACCACGACAATGCGCCTTCGCACACCTGCTTCCTCGTGGCCGATTACCTCGTCAAGGCAGGCATCACCGTTGTTCCCCAGCCTCCCCTATAGCCACGATGTGGCCCCCCCAGACTTTTTTCTGTTTCCGCGCCTCAAAACCCCAATGAAAGGATAGCATTTTGTGTCGGTGAAAACATTAAGAAGGCTTGCACCGACGCTTTAAAGGCGATTCCGCAAAACGACTACCGTGCAGCTTTTGATGCGTGGAAGACCCGCTGGAACCGATGTGTGGACGCAGGAAGAATGTATTTTGAAAGTTTCTAAAGATTTGTACACATAGAACCAATAAACACCATTTTTCAAAGCTCACTGACATTACTTTCCGGACAAACCCTGTATAACAGTAGATGCTTGTGATCAGTGAAATGTAAAGCGTCTGACTGGTTATCCCAAAATATGTACTAGTTGATTTTAAAACTAAATTTCGTTAAAAGGTCTCAAAAAAAACATTGGTATGGTCAATAAAATTCAGTACATTGTACATAAATAAAATGCAATAAAAAACAACGCATATTTAAATTTTCATTTTCTATAAGTATTGTAGAAAATTGTATTGTATATAATAAAACTGATTTTTTTTCTTTGTCTGGAAAGTGTATTTAAAATACAGAAGTAAATAAATATCTAGCAATATCATACTCTAAAATTACAAAACGTATTAAAAGTGTACAGTTAACAATGGATATCTCGTGAATAGAATGTCAATAAGTTTTAACCAATTTTTAAAACCGTCTCTTCAGACTGACAAACTCCAATGGAGGATAGTGTTCTTGGTGGCAGCGGGAATATCCATAGCCTCCAATATATTCTACCTAGCCTTTACAACTACAGAGGTCCAGTGGTGGAATTCTCCGAACAACCAGAAAAAAACGGAGGAAAAATTGGTAAACGCGATAGTAGAACATCAAAAGAAACTGTCGATAACATGAATCACGTCATAATCTAATGTTATACAATAAAATGTTTTTTTTTATATATCTGTGTTTTTAATTCTCATTCAAAATGTGAACCAGATGGAACAAGAATTAATCACCAGATCAATCATTGTTTGTACAACTGTGTGACCTGTTCTTGCCATTCAGACAACTGTGAGACGAGAGGCCCTAAAATTATTTTTTTCCAGAATTTTTCGTACTTCAGCATTTAAGAGCCTGTGATACAAGATTTCCAGCACGTGATGTATTTTTGTGCTTTGTCGCAAATATGGGTAAATTTTACCATTTCTAACAATGTGTGTATTCAGAGTTAGAAATGAAAAAGTAAGATGAAAGTAGAGTGTTGTTTTAAATTGGTGAGGTGTGCAAAGTTTGACGCATTACCAACTTTATGAGTAAAGTTGGCAGAAACGAGTCGCGCCACAGAGTCGTACGCATCACACTCTTCAACGCATTGCATACAACGGAGGTAACACAACAGCACCAGCTGACACGAGAGTACTGCAACCAAATTAAATTGAGGTAACCCCTATCACACACTGCACGAGATATACCTTAGGACGACCTTAATTATGAGGAAGACGACCTTAAATGTGTTTTGTTTGGTAAAAAACACCTGATAATTAATGTTTTAATCAGTCACTTGTAAAGTAGTTGATAAAAATGTAATGCTTTACTGGACTGCAGTAAAGATCTTTTTGATGTTTTTGATCAAATCAGGTGTACCAATCGAGAGATACTAGTCGAGGTACCATCGCAAGTGAGGTATAATGCGTGCAGGAGTTGATAAAAAGGCGGACAATGCAGAGGTGGTCAACAAGGGTAAGGTAGTAATTTTGGAATAAAACACTCTCAAGAACATACAAGTAATAGCAACCTTCTTTCAACAAAAGAACACATATTACCATGTGTAGTTTATAATGTAATATAGCCATTTTTCTTATTTACTGACATAATAAAAATTGCATGAAATTATGAAATTATGAAATTATCGACGATCTATTTTTTGTTCTGAAATAACAGAAAAAACTGCAATTTGTTTTCAATGTATAAAGTACCTAAATACAATAAGGAGTCATGCTATAATTCATTTCATTATTCTTTTTGCTGGGAAAACGGAAAGAATGGTTTATACATTTTCTGATAAATAACATTTAAAAGAACATCTAATATAGGGATAAACAACACACTGGAAATTATAAAAAAAAATAATTTTGAACTGGAACAAAATTTCTCAAAGTCTAATGATAGCATGCGTACGTGTTTGTAGTAACTGCTACTTAAATTACCTAATGTCGTTTAAAAACGAATAAAAAAAATAACAGATATTTATAACTTCGTTTTAAAATATTACTCGTGGAATATGAAACATGATTTTTTTCTAATCATATTTGTCATAAATATAGTACTGACAAGATATTTGTAAATATCATCAATTATTGAAAGGAGTAGGATCATGATGCATTTTGCAGTAATCTAGATGACATGTAATAATATTCGTTAATAGCAAACACACTTCACTTACTACATTGTTAGTTTATCAGAGTCCTATTTTACCATCCTTATCGAGGCAAAAATTCTTTAAACAAAATGCTAAAACGTTTATCTCTACGAAAAATCATAATTACTATATTTTATTAATATTTAAAATATATAAGTATATTTAATTAATGAGTTTGTAACTCACAAGTTAAGATTAAATCTAAATTGCATGTTTACATCAATTGTTTAATAATTAATCATAATTGGTACCCGTAGTACATATTTAACAAAACAACTTTAATAATGTTTTATAATAAGCTGTCGAACTACAAAAATTTTGAACATTAGTAGTTTTTTTAATAGCCTACTACAAAATATTTATAGGTCCAGCCTTCGGAAAGAGGCATGTCCAAATTATCCTTATGTTCTTCCTGACAGCAATAGCATACACAATGAGGGTAAACTTATCGGTGGCTATTGTTGCAATGACGGACAATACCACCAGTTCAAACCCAGATATACCGGTAAGTATGTACACTTTTATTTTATCTGAGTTAGTCAAAGTCGTAGTCACAATTTAGTTGTAATTAAAGTCAGAATCAAAGTAAGAGGTAAAGTCATAGTCAGAGTCAAGGTCAGGGTCATAGTCAAAGTCAAGAGTTAATTCGATAGTCGAAGTAGTCATGGTCAAGGTCAGAGTTACTAACGCTCACTCCGACTTCGATTGGTGGACTCTGTTGAAAGAGTCAACCATAATCACCAGCTGCTGTGAATCGAGCTAAACAGAAACCAGTTTTTGAATATAGTTTCCAGTGATGAATTTGATTTTACTCTTTATGCTCAAAAACAAAAAAACGATTCAAATTCGGAATCCATTTATTTTTTTTTGTTTCACTAGATCTACGACTGGAACGACAAGAGTGTCGTCCTTTCTTCGTTTTACTGGAGCTACATCGTTCTCCAGATTTACGCTGGGAATC